TATCCATCTTTCATGAGCACTTGATAGATCTGTATTTAATTGTTCATCATTACGATCTAAACGTATATGATATAATCCAAGAAGTTTATCCCAAAATTGACCACGTTCCCATAATTCAATTTGAAGTCCAGCTGAACGATCTGGTACATCACTTAAATACGAAAAAAATAAAATAATTCTTCTGAGAATCTATTTTCTGTTTTGTTTCTTTTTTGTTAATAATGTCAGTCAAAATTAAAAAGCAATTCATTTCGTATTTCTATTTCCGGAAGTTTTGACAGAAGGTAGTTTATCAAAAAAACAAATGATATATGTTCTTTTGTATATAGAAAAAGAATTTTACGGAGTTTGATTGAATAATAAGTAGAGATTATTTATTACTGTTGAAGAATATATTCCTTCTCAGACTTTTTTGTCTTGTCGTGCAACGGCTCAAAAGTAATAATGATATAGTCAACTATATCAAAGACTCTTTAAACTTTTGTAAGTAAAACTGTATATGATATTATTCAAAATCAATAGAAATTTTGAATTATTCTAAGACAAAACAAAACGTATAACATATATCCTTACAAATAAAATTCTTGTTCCCAACTTGGCGTTGAACCTTTGACGACAGTTGTTGTTGATTTAACGTTATCAATTTTAAGTACAACATATGAACAACATTCATCTAAATGATATAGAAGATATTAATAATTATTATTTTTCTTAACAATAACTAACTGTCGGATAATTGGATTTTTGCGCTTTTAACTAAGACACAAAGTAGAAGTGATGATGAAGATGTTGATGATGACATGAATATGTTTAATCATTCAGAATATTATATGTTTTTGACAAATCGATACGAAGAATACTTTTTTTTGACAATAGAAATTTACCAGTAATCATGCTTCATTGATTAAAAATAATGAGGAATTGAATTCAATTCGTGCATATCTAAATTGAGAATGAAAAATATATGCTTTGTTTTGTTTTCTATTCTTTTCTGATCAAACAACTATGTTATCAAGCTCAGAAGAAAATGTCACAGTACTGGAGAAAAAAAAAGATTCGATAAAACTAATCCTATTTGTTGCTTCTGATATAATATTGTTGTTGTTGTCCTGTCATCTCCTAGAATTCTTATTGGTAGAAATATTTATCCATCGAAAAAATTTGAAATATATTTTATAAATTATTTTTATTTTCATACATCGAACTATAGATATAAAAAGATCTATTTCAATACAGATTTTCTTTTCTTTTTTTGTTTTTAGCGACATCTATTCATTAAATGAATAATAATTTAATTATTTAAATAATTTTCTCATCATTTCTTTTATTAGTTCTAATTTAATTTCGCAAAAAAAAATCCTTTTTTCCTAATCGTTATCATTCGATTGCTTTTCAATTATAGTCCAGTCCAATAAATAGATATATATGTAATTACTGCAGTGTTATTTGTCTCATAAACGAAATTCAACTATCGTTGAAATACGTTTTATTCAATTTTCTATGTAATAAACAATGGGACATTCCAAACATAAAAAACATCATCATCGTCATCGAAGTAAAGATAAAAGTGATGATGATGATCGTAAACAACACCGATCTCGTCGATCTCCATCATCTGATCGTAGTTCATCAACAAGTGATGAAGAAGAATATCGTGAAAAACCAATTTCAACTAAAGGTAAAACAATGGAAGAAATCGAAGAAGAACGTCAAATTATGAAAAATGAAAGACGGTAAAAAAGAAATTATTTATTTTCTCAATTATTTATTAATGAAATTCAATTCTTTAGACGACAACGTGAAGTTCGAAAAGTTTATGAAACACCACATGAAAAACGACAACGACGTTTAGCAAAAAAACTTGAAAAAGAACGTAGACAAAAAGCAGCACTTGGTTGGGATAGTGAACATTTGGTATGATGAATTATTGTCTTCTATTTATTTTTATTTATTTTTGTAATAGGGTATGACAAATGCAAATAATCCATTTGGTGATGAAAGATTACTTGAAACGTTTGTTTGGGGAAAAAAATTACAGAAAAAAGGTTTATCTGATGTTCCACCTGAACATTTAAAAGTGATGACAGCACAACGTGTTGAAGAAAATAAAGTAAATATTATAAAACTTTTCTTTTGTGTTTTAAAATAACATTTTTGTTTTTTTTCTTTTGATATTTAGGTTGAATTAGAAAAATTGAAAAAACAAAGATTAGAACGAGAACGACAAAAAGCAGAAATGGAAACAGAAAAAGAATTTTTACAAAGAGTTAAAGAAGCTGAATATTATCGTGAATGGGAAAAACAAGAAGATTCATTTCATTTTAATCAAGTTCGTCTTCGATCAAACATTCGTATATCGGATGGTCGAGCTAAACCAATTGATCTTCTTGCTCATTATATCAATGAAGATGATGATGATTTAGCTGTTGAAATGCATGAACCATCAACATATTTAAATGGTCTTACTATTCGTGATCTTGAAGATTTAATAGCTGATATACGTGTTTATACTGAATTAGAACAACAACAAAAATCAGGAGGAAAATCAAATCATTATGATGCACAATATTGGCAAGATATTACAACAATAACAGAAGATGAATTAGCTAAATTAAGAAAATTATCTTCACGATTATATCATGATCAAAGAATTGATGATAGACGAGAAGGTATTCATGAAGCTGTTTCACATGATGTTATAGAAACTTTTAAAAATAAAACACCACAACAATTGGAACAACTAGAACAACGAATTCGGTCAAAAATCGACAATGAAACAGGTATTGATATTGGTTATTGGGAATCTTTATTATCTCAATTGCAAGCACATATGGCACGAGCACGTCTTCATGATCGTCATCAATTGACATTAAAAAGAAAATTACAAAAAATAAAACAAGAACAAGGTATATTTCATGCACCTATATCAAGTTCATCAACAATGTCATCAACTTCAACAATACCAAAAAAGAAAAAAGATAATGAAAATAATTCATTAGATACATACAATGATAATGAAATTGAATCATTTGAAAATTTAGAAATTAAATGTTTCTATGAATACGAACAAAGTCGTTATTCACCAATATTAGTTAATGTCAATGATCTTGATTTAGAAATTCAAAAACGTTGTACTGATGAAACAGATGATTGGGAAAAATTAAAACAACAACGTGAATCTGTAATTAAATCTGGTTCTGTTAAACCTGATGTTGAAGATGCATTTGAAGCATATGCAAGAAGTATGGGTAGTTTAACAACTGATGATGCAGATGTTAATACAGTTGTACCAATGGATGTTCAATATTTATGGTCTGATAAATATCGACCACGGAAACCTCGTGTTTTTAATAAAGTTCATACGGTATATATAGATATATATAATTTTATAAAATATAAATTAAAACAAAATTTTCTTATAGGGTTACGATTGGAATCAATATAATAAAAAACATTATGATACAGATAATCCACCACCAAAAACAGTTCAAGGATATAAATTTAATGTAAGTTTAATTGTAATAGAATATTAAAATAAAATATTAATATTTTTCTTTTTATAGATCTTCTATCCTGATTTAATTGATAAAACTAAAACACCATCCTATAGTCTTGTAAGTAAATTTTATTTTAATTAATATATATCTGTATTGTTCTATTTATTTAGACTGTTTGTGAAGATAATCGTGATTTTTCAATTTTAAAATTTCATGCTGGACCACCATATGAAGATATTGCATTTAAAATTGTTAGCAAAGAATGGGATTATTCATATAAACATGGATTTCGATGTCATTTTCAAAATGGTATATTTCAATTATGGTTTCATTTTCGTAAATGGAAATATCGTCGATAAACATTTTATTTCATTTCATTTCTTTGTTTTTTGTGCTATTGTTATGTCCTTATGTGAAATATATTCTTGTATGTCTCTAATCTTTCATTATATTTCAGATAGAAATATAAAAATGGTTTGTGTACCATGTATTTTTGTCGGCTTAGCTATTGTTATTTGGTGTAAATATCTTGAACCTTATGTTAAACCAATTTATGAACGACTTTGTCAATATTATCCACCATTAAGAGTAGTAGGAAATCAAATGGGTGTTTGGGCAGGTAAAGTTGAAAAATTTGGAGAAAAATTTGGTATTCGTATGCCAGAATCATGTCCAATGCCAAAGAAAAATAAAGATGCTGCAAAAGTAAGATAAAAATGAAATTAATTTTATTTATCACAAATTATCAATTTGATTTTTAGTGTCCAGTTGCTGGTAATAATAAATTATATCCTGATTTAAAAACAGCAACAACAACTGATGATATGGATGTTCATCAACGACCAGTACCATCAGCACCTTCTCATGAATGAATGAAAAAAAAACAATCATTATTCAACAAAAACCAATAAACTTTAATATTATTTATACTTTTTTTTCTTCTCCTTTCGGTCTATTATTTAATGTTTAATCGGGCATTCTATCTAATTGTTGTTCAATCTCTGAAAAAAAAAAGTCAAAGATTTTCTATAGTCTCTATATAATATTTATTAAATTAAACTTTGCTTTTATCAAGACATCAGATTCAAAGTCTTATACTGGATCACTCGTATTACTAACATACAATTGTAAACACGTTGTTCTTTTGAAAAAGAGAAGGTATTTCGATCGTTTTTATTATTATACTCGACAAAGTGAATCTTCAATCAATAATTTGATCTTAGTTGATCCGATCTAAATAATCAATAAAACAAAATTCTTTCGTTTCACTCACAGCCTTTATTGATTTTATTTCAATGCAATAGATTCAATTCTCTCTGTTATTAAAGAAAACACAAAAAAACATTGTAAAACTGTATGTGTCATTCTCTTTGGGTGTGGGTGTGTGGACGTGGATGTAAATGTGAGTGTGGGTGTGGATTGAAAATAAAGGTAATCGAAGCTATACCCACCCCGCACCCATCCACACCCTATATTTGACAACCCTCGATATTTCTGCCATTCGATGTTTTTACGTTCGACATTTTTACTTTCGATCAAAGTAGGGTGAATCGCTATCCCTAGAAACTTTAACTTGCGCTGTCTATGGGTAAAGCGCTGTTGATCAAATGACTTTTCGTTGAATGAAAGATTCGTCGAAAGACATTTTGGAGAGAGATATTTCGTCGAAAGTTACTAGAAGTAGTGACACTTATTTTCTATTCTTTCATAGTCTATGTATATAGATTATAGAAGAATAAATAGAAAGGGATACTATTCCAATAACTTTCGACGAACAGGCCATTCGACGAAAATTCTTTCAACATTCGACGAGTCGTCTGTTTGACGAAAAGTCATTCGACCAACGCCTACTTCCTCAAAATAATTAAACAGTTGCTCAGCGAAGAGAAGACATGAATGATTCAGTTAACCAAATCGCTTTAGGATGTCGATGGATGTGGGTATCTATCATCTCACAAGCCACCTATACTAACCCGACCGCACCCTAGTCACACCCACACCCCGGCATAGTCTCAGGTCGAAATACCGTCGTTCGATCTATTTATACACACCATGCCATAGGCTAAAATTTCAGTGTATTGCCTATAACTCGGAACACGAGGCCTATGGGCCCTTATCCTTTTTGAGTTTTTCATACCTCACTAGGATCTACTTAATGCACAGGACCCGAACTTCAAAGTGATCCGACAGTTGGGGAGGTTCCCTCGTGAGTTTTTGAGGGTGAGTGTGAATATTATATTTATTCCCTTCAAATACCCACATTCATACATACATCCAGACCCTCAAGATAAAATGTCGTAGTAAT